CAAATATTTTTGTTTATATTATCTTTGTGTCCACTTATTCTTAAAGCAATTAGCGATATCTTGTTATTAATTTTTACAACTCTTATAAATTAATCTTAGGAAGCGATTAACAAAACGATTGTTTTTGTTACAAAACTTGTTATTAATTATTACAAAAACCTTTAATTAACTGAAACCTGCCGAACATATAATTACCTTAGTTGTGGATATAAAGTATGAACGTTTTTTGATACTTAAATACGTTCATAAGAAAGCTTTACAAAAGTTTCCGTTTTCGCTGAAATAATTTTGGGGAGTTGTGAAAATTGAATGATACTTCCAATATTCATAATTTTGGTAAAAGATGAAAAAATATACAAAATTGTACTATAATGAAAAATTTTTGAATATACTTGCAACAATAATATTAAGTACGAAGGAAAATATTGAAATTCCAAATGGAAGATGATCTTGCCCAAGATCTTAACTAGCAATTCTACCAGCTAAAACGCAGAGGCTCCTCCATCTGGAAAATCATTGGATTCTACACTTTTAGCATTTTTAATAAGGAATGTGTATTTTTAATAAATAAAATTATATTTTTGAAAATGAAAAAGGTATATAACCTCTTTATCCAACAACTACATTATTTTCTAGTAAATGGACAAATTACCTGTTTTGTTTTCCAAAGTTAAAGGGATTTAAATGTTACATCTGTTGATCCAATTCAAAGAATTTTTGTCTTTTGGCTTACACTTGGCGGATCTGATTTATGCAGAGCTCTTGTTGAATTGTTTGGGAATTGTTAAAAATTAAATTTAATTTTTCAAACGAAAAAGTGCAATTAAATTACAAATACAAAATCTAAAAGGAGAGCAGTGAGTGAAGATAAAAACAAGAGAGAACGCTATAGTCGGGTGCCCCGACTATCAGATACCCGTTACTCAGGTAAAGGGAGTGCGAGGGAGATGGAGATAGAAACTTTGATCACGCATAACTTTTTAACGAATGGTCCGATTTGAAAAATTTCTTCTACATTTCGATAGGTATTGATAAACACAATAAAACTGCATTTTTACTTTTTCGAAATATTTAAATTTTTAAAATCGTATATAAGCGATTGTGGGCGTTAAAGGGGGCGTGGCACCATTTTGAAACAAACTTTTATAGTTTCCGAGATCTCAGCGTTCATACGGACAGACAGACGGACAGACGGACATGGCTATATCGACTCGGCTAGTGACCCTGATCAAGAATATATATACTTTATAGGGTCGGAAACGCTTCCTTCTAGCTGTTACATACTTTTGCACGAATACAATATACCCTTTTACTCTACGAGTAACGGGTATAAAAATTTCACCCATTGGCGTAAACTTTAATATTTATAAAATATTAAAATTCTAAAAATCTGTTTACTTACAAAGTTCTGTTAAATTAATAATTATTGATGTCACAACATCTACAACCAAAAGTAAAAAAAAAGTGCTAGTAGAGGCTATTATGCCAAAACTTACATCTCATGGGTTGAGTCTCGGCTAGAGCTTAGCAAACTCACGAACCAAGGGTTGCGTCCGCAGTGCACCACATAAATACTAAAATATTGTGGAGATATATCGATAGATGGCTATTTTTGACAACCCTATTTCACAATCGCGCACCGCTCCGCGTAATAATAAGAACGTTTTCACCCAATTCATTCGCGAGGCCAAACTGTATCGAGAAAATTCCAAAACGAGGCGGCGACTTTCGGTTTCAGTTTGAAAAAACCCAGTATTGTATTTCCGGGCCAAATTGTGTCAGTGTGAAAGGTTCGGAGGCGGTGGCCACGCAATCCGGGCGACCGATCGTTGGGTAACCTAGCGAAGACCGAGAAAACAGCCGTTGTCATGGCATTCCGGCTGTTTGGCACGGCCAAAACGATGGCCGGAATGATGCGGCGCAACTATACGGCGGGTTCGCTGCCGGGAAAGGTGGGTTAACATCCAAAATCCAGGGGTAATCCAAATTAAAATCCCGCTTAAATTCCAGGTGCAACGCACGTCCACGGGAGCCACTGGCGCCGGGGTCTATATATTGCCCGCGGAGCTATCACCGCTCCTCCAGTACATCGTCAAACAGATCCAGCTGCTCTGCAAGAAACCGCCGAAGGGTTTCGAGAAGTACTTCGAGGCCGGCGGCAAGTCCTCTGCCCAACCGAAAGGAGCCGCCGGCGACAAGAAGCCGCCTTCGGGAACCAGCAAATCCGCCTCGGAAAAGCCCAGCACATCCTCATCCGCCTCGGCCAAGCCCGCCCGATCCCAGGCGGAGTCGAAGTCGGACTGGAATTTCGGCATGTTCAGCAACAGTTCGAGAGGACCGGCGGGACGGGGGCCAACACGCCGGGCGGAAGGCCGCTGGGCGAGAGCGGCGGAGGTGGGGACAGGGAGCGGTGGATCCTCCTTGGCGCCATCGGAGCCGTCGTCCTGGTCGGCTCGTTCGCCTTCTTCGAGATGGGCTACAAGGAGATCTCCTGGAAGGAGTTCGTCAACAGGTGCGGTCGAAATTTAACCAAATCAATTTCCCATTTCAAATCCATATGAAGTAATATGATATGGAAATAGAATAGATCTTTAGTTTCCATAGACCTAAAAGATTCTTCTGTTGTAAAAATTAATTAATTAATGTATCACAAAGCCAACAATATCACCATCCCGTAATATTTATTGCTTCGCAAAAGTGATTTAAATCATTTTAATAATTTTGCCAAAGTTTATCAAAAAATTCTCATAACCCTAAAATCACCGTGATGATGCATTAATTTTTGTAAACATTTTCAATGTTTAATCATTTCAAAATTTAAACTTTTTCGTATCATATGATAATTATATAATATTCTCAACATTTTAAATTATTTATTTAAAGAATATGAGCCTAAATTGATATATATAAAATTTGTAAAATATGCACGGTTGAATAAGTAAATATTTTACAATAGAAAAAGCATAATTTATTTAATTTGCGCTTAAAAATGTTGTTAATTATTATTAAAAGTATTAATAACGTCCCTTGATTTGCATAATTCCTGATTGCAGTGTAATTTATGGTACTCATTAACTTTAAATGTTGTAAGATAAATAATTGTATATACCAAAAACTCTTACTGTTAAGTGTGAACATGTCTCGTAGTAGATGGGAGTCCATCGATTAATATTATTTATTATTAATAATCATATCTCTGGTTTTTCCCCTTGTAAACAGTTACCTGTCCAAGGGCGTGGTGGAGAAGCTGGAGGTGGTCAACAAGAAGTGGGTGCGCGTGCGTCTTCAGCAGAACAGCAACAGCAGCGGCGGCGTCTTGTGGTTCAACATCGGCAGTGTGGATAGCTTTGAGCGGAACCTGGAGGCAGCCCAGTCGGAGCAGGGGACGGAGTCTATCAACTTTGTGCCCGTGATCTATCGCAATGAAGTGGAGGCCGCCAGTTTGACCGGTCTGCTGCCCACGCTGCTCATCATCGGCTTCTTGGTCTACATGATGCGCAAGTCGGCGGACATGATGGGCGGCGGTCGAGGACGCAAAGGGGGTGGCCTCTTTGGCGGCGTAATGCAGTCCACCGCCAAGCTGACCAATCCCACAGAGATTGGCGTGGGTTTCAAGTGAGTTAATGGCACTAATCCACATGCCTATATAATACCCACTACTTCCCTTCCAGAGATGTGGCTGGCTGCGAGGAGGCTAAGATCGAGATCATGGAGTTCGTTAACTTCCTGAAGAACCCGCAGCAGTACATCGATCTGGGCGCCAAGATACCAAAGGGGGCCATGCTAACGGGCCCACCCGGCACGGGTAAAACGCTCCTGGCCAAGGCCACCGCCGGCGAGGCGAATGTGCCCTTCATCACCGTGTCCGGATCCGAGTTCCTCGAAATGTTCGTGGGCGTTGGTCCATCGCGAGTGCGTGACATGTTCGCCATGGCCCGCAAGCACGCTCCCTGCATCCTTTTCATCGATGAGATTGACGCTGTGGGTAGGAAGCGTGGTGGCAAGACGTTCGGCGGTCACTCGGAGCAGGAGAATACCCTCAACCAACTTCTGGTTGAGATGGACGGCTTCAATACCACAACGAATGTGGTGGTGCTGGCAGCCACCAATCGTGTGGATATTCTGGACAAGGCTCTCATGCGACCGGGTCGTTTTGATCGTCAGATTTATGTTCCAGCGCCTGATATCAAGGGCAGGGCGAGCATCTTTAAGGTGCATCTGGGGAACCTGAAGACAACGCTGGACAAGAATGATTTGAGCAGGAAGATGGCGGCTCTAACGCCGGGTTTCACTGGCGCCGACATAGCCAATGTGTGTAATGAAGCTGCCCTGATTGCCGCCCGCGACTCCAAGGATTCGATTGTCCTCAAGCACTTTGAGCAGGCGATTGAGCGTGTCATCGCTGGCATGGAGAAGAAGACCAATGTCCTGGCACCGGAGGAAAAGCGAACGGTGGCGCATCACGAGGCTGGTCATGCGGTGGCTGGATGGTTCTTGGAGCACGCCGATCCCCTGCTCAAAGTGTCGATCATCCCGCGCGGCAAGGGTTTGGGCTATGCCCAGTATCTGCCCAAGGATCACTATTTGCTGTCCAAGGAGCAGCTGTTCGATCGCATGTGCATGACCCTCGGTGGCCGCGTGGCCGAAGAGCTGTTCTTCAATCGAATCACCACCGGTGCCCAGGATGATCTGAAGAAAATCACCGATATTGCCTACTCCCAGGTCGTGCGTTTCGGCATGAACGAAAAGGTCGGACAAGTTAGCTTCGATGTGGGGCAGGCTGGCGATCCGGTGTTCAGCAAGCCCTACTCCGAGGACACTGCCCAAATGATTGACGGCGAGGTGAGGTCGATCATCAAATGCGCCCACGAGGCCACCACCAGTCTGTTGACCAAGCACAAGGAGGATGTGCAAAAGGTGGCGGAAAGGTTGCTCCAAAACGAGGTGCTCAGCCGGGATGATATGATCGAGCTGCTGGGACCCAGACCCTTCAAGGAGAAGTCCACCTACGAGGAGTTCGTCGAAGGAACCGGCTCCTTTGAGGAGGACACCTCTCTGCCCGAAGGCCTCAAGAGCTGGAACAAGGAAAAGGAGCGCCCAGAGCCTCTGGACGCCGGCAGCACGCCCACTTCGCCGCCCACCAAGCCCGTTACTGCCCAGAGCAGTTAGACTAGGACCTTCGATGTCTTGGTGGATGGGGAGTTTCCGAATGTTAGTTCGAGGTTGCCGACATCTCTTTGTTTTTGTTGTAATCCCCAATCACGAACCGCAGAAAGCCCCGAACTGTGGCACAAACGAGAGGGCTCAAGGAGTTCCTGGACCTCCAGGAGTTCCAGTTCTCCACGACGCGTTCATCATTGTTTTTGCATAATTTTAAGATAGTCCCCATGGATACCTCGTTCCAGTGTTGAGCACATAAGCGCTAGCCTGTACTAAATTTCCCGTATTCCGTATTTTCACAATGTAATAGGAATGGATAAAACCTGTCAGTGTGGGAAAACGAAATTAAACGATGTTTTGAAGTCGATAAATAATTAAAATAGTTGTTTTTATTACTGTCGAAATCTCAGGTACTTGGGAACAAATCCAAATCTTTTAATTTTAGTCACAAATCTTCTTGGAAGGGTATATATATACTAAAACACAAACTGAAAAAACTTCTACGACCGTCTGATCAAAATAAAGGATCGAAAGATAAGATTATGCACTTTGAATTTGCATCCTAAGAGTTTCAAACTTGATTGGTTCACGAAAAACTAAAATAAGAAATTTAATTGAAAAATGAAGAAAAATCGACGCCAAAATACAATTCAAGTTGAATATACAGATTTTTAGAGAATTAAACTTTAGATTATTAAACCACGATCATTTAGAAGCAAGCCACATTAAAATCGGATGTCTGTAAGAAAAGTTATGGGCATTGGAGTGCAGGTTTTAGGTCACTTTTTTCCAACGACATTTTTTGAAAATTCGGAATCGTTAAAATGACGAAATATTAATGCCAAAATACAAATCAAGTTGAATATACATATTTTAAACCACTATCATTTTGAAGCAAGCGACTTTGAAATCGGATGTCTCTAAGAAAAGTTATGGGCTTTGGAGTGCATTTTTTTGCAACGACATTTTTTTAAAAATTCGGAAAGGGTAATTCATCGTAAAAATGACGAAAAATCGAGCCCAAAATACAAATCAAGTTGAATATATAGATTTTTAGAGAATTAAGCAAAGATTATTTAGAAGCAAGCTACTTTAAAATCGAATGACTCTAAGAAAAGTTATGGGCTTAGGAGTGCAGGTTTCAGGTCACTTTTCTGTAACTCCATTTTTTGAAAATTCGGAAAAGGCTACCATCGTAAAAATGACGAAAAATCGACGCCAAAATAAAAATCAAGTTGAGTATACAGATTTTTAGAGAATTAAACCACGATCATTTAGAAGCAAGTTACTTTGAAATCAAATGTCTCTAAGAAAAGTGATGCACTTTGGAGTGCAGGTTGTAGGTCACTTTTCTGCATCGCCGTTTTTTTTAAATTCGGAAAAATTACGAAAAATAAACCCCAAAATACAAATCAAGTTTATTATACAGATTTTTAGAGAATTAAACCACGATAATTTAGAAGCAAGCCAGTTTAAAATCGGATGTCTTTAAAAAAAGTTATGGGCTTGTGAGTTCGCAGATCCGCCCTTCCGTCTTTCTGTTCCTGACCAAAATGTTTTGTTCTTTAACTTGTACATTAAAGTAATTTCCAACATTCAATTTAAAACAAGAAAGTAAGCTAACTTTGTCATCTTCCGAAGTTTATATGGAAATTTTTTCTCAGCGCTGCGCATGGTATCAAATGCCAAAAATTACTCATACGATACGTGGGCAGTTAGTATCTGACAATAGGCGAAAACCTACTCCGGTTTATCTATATGTATTACGGGAATGTTTTCCTCAAACGAAATCAAAAAATTACAAGAAGTGGGAGAAAGATATTTTTGAAATAAATTGTTCCTGGTTTATGTGGCGTATGAGTAATCTCTAATAAAATTTTACAACCTTTTTTTGGTTAACCTTTTAATAACCTTTTGGTTATTAAATAAACAATTATGAGAGGTAGTTTTTTTTATTTTACCCTTAAGAAAAATAAGCTAACTTGGTTTTTGTTTTTTGATTTTGGTTTAGAATAAATATATTTAAAACCCAAAAAATTGTATTTTCTGTTTTAGGCGTTGCATGAAGTTTCCGCTGTTATTACTCACACGAAACGTAATGTCAGTTAAAATAATTTATTTGATTAAAGACAACAGTACGTATGAGTGATAAACTTTGAAGACAATGCGCAATGTCGGTCTCAGTTAGCAACTATTATTTGTAGAAACCCTAGATTATTAATATTATTTAAACTTGTATTGCAAAACACTCGGCCCCATTTTGTGCCGTGTAAGCTTTCGAAGCTCCGAGGCGTTTAAGAGAACGCCACTCTCTTCGTTGAGCTTCTGCCGGCTGCCAGCCGCTCTCTTGCTCGCTGCGTCTTATCACTTATCAGCTGTGATGCTGAAGTACATGCGCCATGTGCAGCCGGTAAATAGTGCAACTGCCGCTGCCTCTGCCCACGTCGCTGCCGGCGCAAAGCTCCGCTGGGGCAGCAGCAGCAACAGCAACAACACACAGAGCAGCGGCAGGGCAGAGAGTGCAGCAGCGCTGCCGCCGGTCGTTTGGGGCCGTCAGTTGGGTTTTGGGGTCTCGCCGCTCAGTGTCGTCTTGTTGGCTGTCGCGTTCGTGTGCGCGCACTGAGAAAAACGGAACGCCACAGTTGCACTTTCCGTTGCAATTTCTATAGTCCTCGAGTCCCCCGATTTCTGAGTTCCCCCTCGTGCGAAGTGCGTGCGCTTTGGCCAAAACAACTACCAAAACGCGTACCGCAATTTACAAGATACAACCAATAATAAGAGGCATAGAGAATAATAATAAAGGAGAAAATAAACCCCTGCTGTGGAGGGCATTTGCATTTTGTTTACCTCGATGGCTGTGTGGAGTGCAATTTGACGATTATATAATATAAAACAAAAAAATAGGGAAAACAAATAAAAGTGCGCGGCATTCGATTTTAATTGCAAGCAACTACAATAACCACTGAAGAAGAAGAGTTAAAGTGAAACCCTCTCTTTCGCACCGCCGCCCCCATCCTGTCTCTCCCACCCACCTCGGTTTCCATAGCTGGTGTGTTGATCTTTCATGCAAAATGGCTGCCGGCCGGCAAAATAACGGTATTTGATCGATTAGGAGAGAGGAAGAGAGATCCCTAGGACTTGATTTCGATTGATTGGCTTTTAGTATACAGTTTCTCAATTATTTAGCTTTCGAAAAAAGTGCTAATATGTAATTCATTAATTCACTTAAAGCAATGGGCTATAACAATGAAGACTATATGACTGAATTAATTAGAAACTCAAAATGAAACGATTTTATTATAATAAAATCTTGTTCTTGGTTCCTTTTTATTCTCAGGCTTATTTTATTTAGTAATATATGTTTATAAGTGTACACATATGTGTCTGGTGTTTAATTTTGTTTAACTATTTTATTGATGTTAAATTTGTACTTAAAATATTAAAAAGGAGGAAAAAGGACTAAGCAAAAATAATATGTTGTTCTTTGAAAAAAAACGTTCAATTAAAATGGCGTTGAACATGCAGTCAGTAATTTCTTAATGCTGATATTTTATGATTATTAAATATTTTATGAGATGACTTATACTAGAACAGTGAAATAAAATAAAATGTTTGCTTATCCTTTTGATTCCCTCTCTTTTAAAACCTCTTTTTAAACAAGAAGTTTTTGTTAATCACTCGTACAAAATGTCTATCGTTGGGCGAAATAGCGGTAACTTTGATTACTGATCAATAAAGCTTCGCCGATCGACGATCACTGGCCGAACATGTGTTATATTAGTTCTGTTTTAGTTTCTCGTTTATTTTGTTTTATTTTGTGCTGCCAATTGTCGCAATTGTCGGGTCACGTGTTTGTTGCTGCAGCCAGTTAACTTCTGCTCTCGTTGTAACGGTGCATGTTCTCAGCGTATTTGTGTGCGTATTGGTGTGCTATTGCGGGTGTACGAGTCCGTATGTGTGTGTGTGTGAATGTCTGTTTGTGAAAGCTTGCATGCTGCGCGATATCATATTGTTGTTGCTTTTGTTGTTGTTGAGGGAGTCACTGCATGCAATGTTCTTCTCTCCTCCTTTCTCTCATTCTATCTTTCTCTATTGTTGTTGTTTTTATTGTTGTTGTGGGTGTGGGAAAGATCAAGGCGCGTATTAAACACAGAAAATAAAAAAAAAACAATCAAAATATAGGGAAATGAAATAAAGATGGGGAAAGCAACGGCAAATAATGGCAGTAACATCAAAAGTTCAAAGCTATAAAATTTGGATTCCTGAATTTTTGTATTCCCTTATCGGCAAATCTGACGTCATAAATGTGGCACACTTTTATAATGAATTTTTCTAAACTTAAAATAGATTTTAACTGAAAATATATTGGTGGCAGCTTAAATTAAATAACAAATTCTAAGTAGTATCAAACAGCCAAAACAATTGGCAACGATTTGACTAAAAAGATCAAATAGTATTTAGGTATTTAAAATTTTATAATTGCCAAAAATAAAAATCCAGAATCCCAAACCACATTTTTTATTTCAATAGCTGAACAACCAAAATAACATGGAAAATGAAGTTTTGTTTTATTGCACTTTTAATGGCAACTAGATACGTGTTTCTTCGTTTTTATTTTATCGGAGGTTGGAGATGCCTTTCTCATTCTAGTAAATTAATTTGACGGTTGTTGCCATATAAAGTGAGGCAAATTTATTTCAAACAAAGATCTCTTGCACTCGTAGTACCGCATCGCAATTGTCACTCAGCCGTCACTTTTCCGCCCCTTTTCCGCCCGTTCCTCACCTGCCTTTTCCACTGCTTTTCTTTCTCTCTCTCTTCCCCTCATCGGTTGCACTTTTTTGCATTTTACGATTGTTCGTTGCGAATCATTGCATTTTAAGCGGGGGGTGGGTGTGGGGGTGGTTCAGCAGCTGCGGATGGGTGGGAAAGAGAGGGGGAGGGAGTGGCGGGGAAATTGCCTTTTCAAAAGTTTCCCCGGGCAAAGTTTAAAATTGCAATTTAATTAATTTTCACCAAACACAAACGAAAACAAACCAAAACAGATCTTTTGCAGTAATATGTTGCCTTTAAATCAATTGAGAAACCAACAACCAAAGTTAACGCAACGTTTCTAAAACTTAAAGTCTAAATACCAAATAATAAATACATAAAAATACACAATAAAATTAAAACCAAACCAAAAGTGGCCTGCAAAACGAAGCAACTAAAACAACCAAGAAATGTGATTCACAGTGTGCAATGTAACCAAATTATTAGTAAAAAGCAAACCAAAAACCAAAGGAAAAGCCGTGGAAAATCAGCGGAATACCCAAAAGCCAGGCCAAATGGAAATCAAGGAATCCGGGAGCCAATCGAATAGCCAACTAGCAGCCAACGTGGCCAATGATTAAGGGAACACTTTGTTAGCCAACTCGTAGTAGCAGCATTCCCCGTCCACCCATTACACCCAAAACACAGCCACTCAGCCGCACAGAACCATTCGACCTCCCCTCGCAGCCCTCGATGCCTGGACAGAAGGCGTTGGAGCAACAATTATAGAATAGACAGCCAGACAACCACATCAGCTCCGAACTCCGAACTCCAAGCTCCAGCTCCAATTCAATCTCAATCCCGACCTAAAACCCCCAACATGGACATCAAGATTGAGCAGCAGCAGCAACAACAGCAAGTGGAGCTGGGACCCTGTTCCCCGTCGGAGGTGCCCAATGATCCCGGGTAAGTGGACTGGCATTAACCCGGAATACCCTTGCACCAGGTATTTCCAATAGGTGTCGAAAAAAGGGACAACAAATTTAAGTTTGTCAAAAGAGTTTTAAATTGAGCGAAAAATATTTGTAACCATATATTCTTCTTACTATGAAATCGTTGAAATAATTTTTGGGATGCTCAGAAAAATTATATATATTTTGATTAGTATAGTTTATAAAGGAGATCGTTACTTATTTACTTACATCACAATATTCATTTAAAAATGTCTTTAATTTTTGTAATTCGATTTTTGAGAGAAGTAAAAACTTTTCTAAAGTTAAATATTATTAAAACTAGCTTACTAACAAGTTTTAGATTTTTATATTTGCATTAATCTTACACTTATAGAAATATATATGGTCTAGCATTGTAAGTTTTGAATTAGATTTAATCTTACTAAAATTAAAGTTAAAATATAAAATCTATAAAAGATGAAATTACAAAGTTCATAGGACAATAGCAATCTTCTTAGAAAGGGCATACAAACTTCGAAGAGCCAAAGTAAACATTAACTTTTTTATTTAGTTTGAGGTCGTAGACTCGTGGACGTGGCATTAATTGTTTAAGTTTTAAGTTTGTCATTATTGAAGCGCAGGGCGCCGGAAGGGAATGAACCATGGCTTGGGGAGTGATGTCAAGGCAGTTAGAGTTGTTGACAGAAAGTTTTCTATGTCAACTAGGGCCGGAACTGGCCGAAACTGGCCAGAAATGGACGAAGGCCCAGCTGGGGATCCAAGTCTGCGAAACTAATTAGAAAACAATTTGCCAAGGACATCAAAATTCAATTAAAGCCGTTCGGCTTAGTGCTTTAGTGCAATGCAGTTACTGCTCTCGGCTCGCTTTCATCCTTCCGGCTACAGTTTATTATCAGACCGATTCCCCAGCTTGCAGCCCCTCATCCAACATTTATATTTGTGCCAAAATAGGTTAAGTTCTGATTGCGGTGTCATATGCAGCAGATTAATTGCGAGCTGCATTGCTGATAATTTGCATCGGTTTGCAGTTGGTTTGCAGTTTTAGTTGAGCGGTGTGCTGGTGCCGTTTTGCTGTCAGAAAGTCAGACTAACAAATGGATGATCCAGTGATTGGCAGCCAAGTGGACTGATTGAAGGTAGTGGTGGAATGGGATTTTGACGCAGCCCATAAAGTGAGCAAATTATGGAACTGAGCGACCAGTGGTTTGTTAGGATGATGCATCAATTATGATGCTTTAATGTGAATGGATTTTGAAATAGAGGTGACAGTACTCAATGACGAACCCCAGGAAACCCGAAATGTACATGTTAAGAACATTATCTAACTAGGCATCTATAAACTTGATCTCTATATTTACTCACACATAAGGTCCATTTTAATGTTGCTGAGAACCTAAATACGGCAATATTTCCGTAAAAGGCAACTTTAAATCTGACTAATTAAAACATTTCTAGCTCGACTAATTTAGTCAAGTTTAATGAATTAATTATCAATTAAATGGTAATAAATGGCATTCTTTAAAATGCATAGAGTCAACTCAATTAGGGCCTGATAAGCAATTAATTATATTAGGTTGTTTAACAATTTAGATTGCATCTCATTCATGGCAACTAAGTAACGTTGTTATGTGGCTTTATTGTATTTTGAAAAGAAAGGTATACAAATTCTCATTTTCATGAATTACGCTAAGTTAAAGTTATATTTATTTATGGTCCCCATACTTTTAATTCTCCTAACCAAATTTTCGTTTTCTAAGCATTTAATTTTAATGAGAATCTCCAAAGAAAGCTCAACAACTGCAGTATGCCAATCTAGTCTAGCTAAACCCTTTGTCATTTCAGTTACCCAAAGAGGAAAAATTATAAAAAATCGGGAAGATATAGAAGGAAAGAGGGACAGGGAGACTTAGGTACAGCCATATGGCCCGGACAGCCGTCGCAATCCATTGAACACGCAATGCCCATAAATTATGCAGCTCATGCATGTACATCCACATAGATGTACGGTTATAAATATATCTATTATCGAAATGCTGCAAATTGTATAGCCCAAGTGAATTTCAGCACTCCACGAAGGGGGGCGCGGATGCTGATTGCAGCTCATCTTGTCTATTTGCATTAGTTTGGCAAACTCGCTACAACACAGCAAGCAAAAATAGGCTGGGCTGGGCTGCCGAAGTTGCCTTTCCCTCAAATCCCTGGCCATATTTCTTGTGGCGGGAAAGCGGAGGCCACCGGATAAAAGAAATGGATCACCTGCTGCTCGCTGAGCTCCGACGATGCTGGCAGGTGCAACAACTGCAACTGCAACACCAGCAAGTGGTGCAACTATTGCAAATGCACCGAGTGTTGGAGTTTAGATGTACCTATAGGTACCGCAAATTTCATAAGAGTCTTTCAAACATTTAACTTCGTGTCTTTTTTTAACAGAGGTTCAATCACTAATAAATATTTTTGGCCAGATGTTGATACTTTTATAATAATTAATTATAAATGTAATTGCTTTGTTACTCTTTCAAGTTTTAATTATTATTTTTGTTGCTTGTCAGTGGGTTATTATCTAATTTCATTTTTGAGTTATAACTTGGCTTTAAGTCTTAATAATTTAAATAATTATGTATTTTTTTTTATTGGACTTTGACCTCAAATGAGATGTATAAAGCATTACATTTTTTATAATAAAGACATGGCACATAAAAGCCTTTATTATATACATAATTTTAATTTTTTTGAATTACAATTTGGTTTCAATCATGGTATTATTTATGGTATTATTTCCAATGCACCTTGTACCTTACTTATGTAAATCGAATACCTTTCCCATCACTGACTGCAAGATGAAGTTGGGTAAAAGTTTTGTGGCGATGCGAATGGGAAATGTGGCACCTAGCGAATGTTGAATGCATAAATCTTGAATTAATTCAAAATACCTTTTGATGACGCTGCCCAGATACACAGATACAGATGCATCCGCATCTCTGCACTTGTATCAGTGCCGCTGTATCTTTCTCTATTTTCGTTGTGCAACTTGGCGAATATCGTTGAAAACATGCGAATACAATTCCATTCACAGTTTCGTTGACTGGCGCGGCGATCGCCACGGCTCAGTAATTTTGAACGCTACCGCCCCCTGCTCACGACGCCCCTTGCCACCCACTCTTTTGGCAAACTTTATAAATCTTTTGAAGGGCCCACGGAAAATAAAACAAGAAGAGTTGCCTGGCCTGCTCGGCGCAAAATGGCAAAGTAAATAAACACAAAGGCGAAAGAAAATGAAAATAAAACAAACTAAGCCAAAAAAACAACACGCAAAACTTTGAAATAACTAAATAAATGCCCTGCTATTAATACAATTCACTTTGCCAATGTATTTTTAGTGTAAATGCAGCAAACATCAAGTGAGAGAGATCGTTTTATGGGATGATCGATCTCGCTGATACCTAATTTATTCCATGAACTCATAAATCCTTTGTAACTCCAGCTTGACATTAATTTATTTTTCTTATGTTAACCACATGTTATGTTTTTTTTTTACCGTCCAAATGAGCATCAATCTATCTTTTTTATACCCTTGCAGAGGGTATTATAATTTTGGTCAAAAGTGTGCAACGCAGTGAAGGAGACATCTCCGACCCTATAAAGTATATATATTCTTGATCAGGATCACCTCCTGAGTTGATATAGCCATGTCCGTCTGTCCGTTGTCTGTCTGTCCGTCTGTCCGTCTGTCCGTCTGTCCGTCTGTCCGTCTGTCCGTCTGTCTGTCCGTCTGTCTGTTTCTACGCGAACTAGTCTCTCAGTTTTAAAGATATCGAATTCAAACTTTGCACACCCTTCTTTCCTTTGCGCAGTATATAAGTCGGAACGGCCGGGATCGGCCGGCTATATCCTATAGCTGCCATATAACTGATTGATCGGAAATGCCATAACTTTGGTGTTTGTCAAGTTAGGAAGTTGGGATTTTCTATGGGTTTTATATTTTGCCAATCAATCCGACATACCAAATTTCATAAGGATCGGCCGACTATATCCTATAGCTGCCATATAACTGATTGATCGGAAATGCCATAACTTTGGTGTTTGTAAAGTTAGGAAGTTGGGATTTCTATGGGTGTTATATTTGGCCAGCCAATCCGACCTACCAAATTTCATAAGGATCGGCCGACTATATCCTATAGCTGCCATATAACTGATTGAGCGGATATGCCATAACTTTGGTGTTTGTAAAGTTAGGAAGCTGGAATTTCCTATGGGTTTTATATTTGGCCAATCAATCCGACCTACCAAATTTCATAAGGATCGGCCGACTATATCCTATAGCTGCCATATAACTGATTGATCGGATATGCCATAACTTTGGTGTTTGTTAAGTTAGGAAGTTGGGATTTTCAATGGCTTTTATTTTTGGCCAATCAATCCGACCTATCAAATTTCATAAAGATCGGCCGACTATATCCTAAAGCTGCCATATAACTGAACGATCGGAAATGCCATAACTTTGGTGTTCTTAAAGTTAGGAAGTTGGGATATTTTATAAGTATTAAGAATGCATCATATGAATAATTTTGGAGAATATAATATCAAGAGTATTCTGCAAGGGTATATCAACTTCGGCTCCGCCCGAAGTTAGCTTTCCTTTCTTGTTTTATAGTTTGAGTTTCCTGCTTTTTAAAGATGTTAATCAAAAGTGCGTTTAAATTGATAAATTGTTTCTTAAAATGTAAGACGATCACTGACCCTAAATAAATATATCAACTATAGGTATTCTTATTTATAAAGATAGTTGATTTCGTTGATATTTCTTAAGATTGTCTTTTATGCGATAGCCTTCAAACCTTTTTTTAGTCGCTTTAAGACAAAACCTAGTTTAAAAATATTTTTATTTGGCTGGTTTTTATCTAGAATTTTATTGCTATATACATCATTATATTGAACTTACTGAGCAATGACTTTCCTGGGAAACCCTTCAACCATCAGCATCATGTAACAGTT